TAGGGCAACCTAAGAAATTCTAATGGCATCTTTATAATTTTTTAATATTAATTATTATTATTTTTTCATCTCTTATTTTGCAGCTTTTTTCTCTAATGATCTTCATAGCAAATCAGATTTGCAAATTCACTAGCGAAATTATTGTATTATTTTTACTCTCTCTCTCTCATACACGCCGATGTGGATTTATTTAATTCAATTTAATTATTATATGTTTAATTTTTTTTCCTTATTGAAATCTCGTGCATCGCACGGTGAGAAAATTGCAGTACTAATAGGGGTTAGTTCTAACATACACATCTACCCACATATTCATTATTGCACCTTCATTTTAATTTCAGTAAACCAGTGAAAGATGGCGCAAAGCTAAAAAGAAATTAAGATATGATTTTTCATCTAAATAGAAACTAATAAATAATTTATGTAATCAAATCAATCTAAAAATTCATTATCCCACATGATTGTGAAGTGGTCATTAATAAAATAAATATCATGTAATTATGAAGTTCTTAAAAAAATAGTGATAGTCATTGTCAATAATAATAAAAAAAAATCTACCTTTACAATTAATTTAAAGAAAAATTAGGTCGAAACATCTAAAAAAATATTTTATATAGCTTTAAGATTGTAAGAATTTAGCTTCTTTGCTAAAAGCTTTTGTGAGCTTTCTCGCTTTGGATCTGACACTAAATCAAGAGTATTTCTAACGGAATTGCTTAGTTAAACTAGTATTAATGGTGACGCGGAGATTTGCACAGTGTAAATTGTAACAACTTAGTTGTATTAATAAGCAAAAACTTAGTTAAAATAAACTGGAAAAAGAAACTAGAAAAAAAATAGATGTATCCCACAACTTACATAGACAACTTAGAAAATTTATTTAGAGCTCAGTTATATTAACGAGCAAAAAATTAGGAAAAAAACAAATATTCATATAATTTTACTATGAAGTTAGTGACTTCGTAGTTTATTTTTTTTAATTTATTTAGTTATAATTATTAATAGGGGTTGGTTCTAACATACGCATCTCTACCCACATACTCATTATTGCACCTCCATTTTAATTTCAGTAAACCAATGAAAGATGGCGCAAAGCTAAAAAGAAATTAAGATATGATTTTTCAGCTAAATAGAAACTAATAAATAATTTATGTAATCAAATCAATCTAAAAATTCATTATCCCACATGATTGTGAAGTGGTCATTATTAAAATAAATATCATGTAATTATGAAGTTCGTAAAATAATAATGCTAGTCGTTGTTGATAGAAAAACATCTACCTTTACAATTGATTTAAGGAAAAATTAGGTAGACGTCCCTTAAATATATTCTCTACGGCTTCAATGATGGAAGATTTTTTTTTTTTTTTTTTGCTAAAAATCTTTGTGCGCTTTCTCGTTTTGAATTTGACGATAATCTAGAGTCTCTGCAATGGAATTATTTAGGAAAAATAACAGTAATGATGAAGTGGAGATTTGCATAACTTAATTATATTAATAAACAACAATTTATTTATATTTATAAACAACAACTTAATTAAAATATATTAAAGAGAAAACTAAAATAAAAATAGATGGATCCTATATCACATACACAATTTACACAAACAACTAAAAAAATTTATTTACAAAATTTAGTTAAAAATTAAACGAGCAAAAGTTTAGCAAAAAAATATTTATTTCACGTAATTTTCATAAAGTTAGACAAATAATTAGAAGTTTATTTGCGTAGCTTAGTTACAACGTAGTTAAAATAAGCTGAAGAAAAAAACTTAAATATCTGGTGTGTATATCATCACAAACATTCACTAGTAGAAAAATGGCCTTTTGCTACGATCATTAACCATAGCAAAATGTACCAAATTCGTACTAAAAAAGCTTTTGCTATGCATTTGCCCCGTAGCATATACGGGCGTGACAAAAGCTTTGCTACTGTAAATTTCCGTACCAAATACTTTTTTGCTACGGTAAATCCTAGTATTTAGTACGACTTCAAAATTGTTTCATAGTAAAAGTACATTTTAATACGTTTTTTTACTGTAGCAAAAAAATCATAGTAATAAGCAAAATTTCTACTAGTAATTACCATCACCATCGCAAAAACAATTTTTCATATTTTTCGTTTTTTGTTTCCATGATCATTAGATTGCAACAAAAATGAATGAGTAACGTAAGCAAAACCATATGTGTGTACGTGTGGTTGTGCATGCGTGCATGTAGGTGTGTAGGGGTGTGTTTGTGTGGCAAAGTTTCGATGACGGCATCATCGGAGAGCGTGGATGAAGCATATTTGACTGAATTGTAGTGGGGTTAGACATAATTTAACGTAAAAACAGTTCGGATAGACGCGAGACGTGAAAAACAAAGGCAATGTTTGGAACCATATCCATTTTGTTTTCTTTGTTTTCCCAAAACAAAATGAGATTTATTACACTTTTCAAATCATTTTCTCAAAACAATTTCAAAAGTTTATCTCTCCTTCAGACATGATGTGACTGCTACAGTAAAATGATTTGACTGCTACAGTAAAAAATGTCTTCACTAAAAAACAAATAAACATCACTTCATCTTTCAATTTTTTTCTTCAAAAATACATTTTTCTAAAACATTTATACATGATTTGACTGCTACAGTGTATTTTGTCTCCTTCCAAAATACAAAAAAACATTACTTTCATTCTCAAATTATTTCCCCAAAACATATTTCCTCAAAATGAAATTAAAATAAGATCCAAAACGCTTCCAAACATTGACAAAGTACTTTTAACAAATTACAAGGAATCTGTCATGTTTAACAAATTGTCCCTTTATTTAAAGCAACACAAGTCGAAAGTTATTAAATATTCATTTAAGTGTTGAAACTCGAAATAAGATTAATTGATTTTTTTATTTTTTTTATAACTCATTTTGAGTAAAAAAAAAATATCAAATATGGAGCATCAAAATATCTGATAATTAATTTTATTGTCTTTAAATATCCTACTCTGTTGCAGTGTTACTAGTTATTTTGTTTGGTAGTGGAAGACTAATTTAGACCGTCCAATTGTTTTTCTATTATTTTATATAAACCACTAGCAGAATCAACTAGCCATATCTGGGCATATTCATTTCGTAATTAATTAGTGGGGCTGCTAGCTGCAATTATTGTGACCACATTAATTAATATATAATTATTTTAAAAATAAAAATAAAAGTAATTTTAATAATCACGCTTTATGAGTTCTTTGAATATTTGTGCACCGTTGAATCCGCCTATCTTTTTCATTGTACAGTATTTCATTAAATCACCTTATGACGAGACAGCTCAGTCGACAAGTGGTGGCATAGAAAAATAATTAATAATTATGATGTCATAATTATTAAATGTTTTATTGTATTATTTTATTAGCATAATTCTACTAAAAATAATAAATTAGATACTTGTGAGGTTATAAAGTATAAACACAACATTTTTACACTGATAAAAATAATGTGAGGACTTTTTAGCAATTTAAAAATAACATAAGGGGTAGTTTTGCAATTAACTCCAAACAATTATTTTGCATGGTGACGTAAGAAAATATATAATAGATGTCGGCAATATGATGTCGTATGTTTGTGTTTCTGATTCTGACTGGGTACACTCTTCACCGTTCAATTTTCGGCTCCCAAGAAACCGGAACTATTTTACAAAAGAAAATATTCACTTTGCACCCTTGAAATGGAGGATTTTGTATTTTGCACCCTAAAAATAATTAATATTATTTTGCACCCTTAAACATTAAATCATTCACGATGCACTATCTGAAGTGAAAATTTCAAAATTAATGAGGGCAGAATGTTATTTTTCATGGTGCAAGATAACAAATTAAATTGATATTTTCGTCTAACCTCAACCTAATTGATCGAAAAAAACGCTAAGTACCAAAAGAACAGAAAAAAATAATAATTCTTTTCACTATATTTATTGGATTTGTGGATCTTTTATTGTGATTGGTCAAAATATTTAGTAGAAATCTTGAGAAGAAAAATATAATTTTTGAATAACTTGACAAGAAAATAGGTGAAAGATTTTTTTTCTCTTTTTTGTAAAATATTTTTTCTTGCAAAATACTTTTTGATTAAAAAAAATATATTTTAAAATATGATAATGATATGTATTTTATATTTCCACAAAAAAAAAAAAAAATTGTCTTGCAAAATACTTTTTGGTTAAAAAACATATATTTTAAAATATGATAATGATATGTATTTTATATTTCCACTTTGTAGTTTGAAATTGACTTAAAAGATTGAGGAATATAGAAACAATGAAATCACATTTTGGCACCCCAAAAAATACACTAAATATATTGAAGGATAAATTATACCCACACTCTAAGATATGTTAAAAGAACTTTAAGTTCTTTGTGGTATTGATAATTACACTCATCCCCTGAAACATAGTTAGAAACTCTAATGAGATAATGCATTGTATACGTTATTTCGATAAGATTCTAATGAACCATTAATTTCAGTAAGTGGTGGAGACAACAAATAATTATGATTGATTTAAGAAATGTTGATGGAGTCATGACACCCCATAACTCTATGTTGTCTCCACCACTAGCTAAAAGTAATAGTCCGTTAGAACTCTATCGGAATAACGTATCCAATGCATTTTCCTATTAGAATTTCTAACTATGTTTCAGGAGGCGTGAGTGTAATTATCTATACCACAGGGATCTTAAATTTATTTAAGCATACCTCAGGGGTGTGGGTGTAATTGTTTACCCTATATGAAATGAGCTTCATTAGCTTAAAAACTTCATTCATGGTGCATTGTGAATGATTTATTGTGTTTCGAGGTTGCAAAGTGCTATTAATTATTTTATAGGGTGCAATGTGATAAAAATCAATATTTCAAAGGTGCAAAGTTGGATTAAGCAAAAAATAATATAAAACAATGTAACTATAATACAAAAAAACTCGATTTTTGGAACAAGTTTTTCCGTTCTAATTTTCTATTTTCTTGGTTAATTATTCAATTCGGAAATCAGAACTTTCTTATTACTTCGTAATCGGAACTTTTTGAATCGAAATCGACAAAAACCAAAAACTTTGTTACAATATCCGTCCCTACTCGCACAATTAGATTGTGGTGGGACAGCATATTTATTAAACACATAAACCTCACAAACAAATAGAAAAATAAATAAATAAATTATAAACAAACATAAAACTTATTTCACATGACTGATAAAACTCTTCTTGGCTGTGTCTTCTTCGGCTAAACAGCAACGTAAATTCATTTGCTGACCTCAGCCCTTGCTTTCAATTTCGTCATCTATTTTGTCACTATTCCACAACTGGGATTGTTGAGTCAAATATTCTAGCAGAAGCCTTCGTTGCCTAATAAATCCAAAAAAAAAAAAAAAAAAAAAAAAAAATATCGTAACACTCGATAAATTAATAATCTCGCTTAAATAATAGTTTTTTCTGGTCTCGACTAAGTAAAAACCTTCTAAATTATTAGTTCGGTAATTTAATATTTTAATAAATTAATAGATATTTGTTAGTCCCGACTGTATTAATTTATAGACGTTTAACTGTACACAAGTAATTCATATATGATTTTTTTTTTTACCTCATTCTCCCAGTTAGTTCGAAGGGTTATGATCGAAAGGAAAAACGTCTGAGCGAAAACTGCGGCAATAATTCCGATCCAAAGCCCCTAACCCAACAATTAAAAAAATAATTAATTCAATTAATAATTATATATAATATAAAAAAAAATTATGATTATAATTTATGAAATTATATACCTTGCCTCCAAGATGAAACACAAAAGCCAACACTAATGCAAGTGGAATACCAATTATATAAAAAGATGCCAAATTAACAATAGCACCAATTTTTTGCCAGCCACAACCTCTTGCTATGCCTGCACAATTTCAAGAATGAATATTAAATCCAAAATTTAAAGTTAATTAAACCATAATTAAAATTAAATAATTTAATCTTATAATAGTATAAATATAATGCAAATTACCATTAAGAACAGAGAGAACCCCATCTGCCAAATTTGTAATAGCAATTAATATCATCATTTCAGAAACATATGAGACCACATTTTCTTCACTACTGAAGCAGTAACCCCATATTTTCCGGCCCAATATTATTACCGCCACCGCCACCACGCTTTCCACCGCCACCATAAACGTGGCCATGTATACCGCCAGACGAGCCGCCTTTGGCCGCCCCCCTCCCAACTCGTTCGAAACTCGTACACTGAGACGATTGAACAATATTAAATAAATCAAATAAACAATATATTTACATTTGAAAATACTTTTTAAATTATTAAGTTATATATGATGGGATATATATTCACCTTATTGCACTGCCAAGTCCAAGGGGTATCATGTAAATCATGCTGTTTGTGTTTAGACTGGAGCAAACACAAAAAATCAAACAATTTAGTAATTTGTACAATTAAATAAATTATTCGAAGTTATTTTTTAATGGGGTCCTACAATACTATTTTTTTTATGGACCCCTGATCTTATGCTGGCTCCGCTGATTTAGCTAACCTGATCGACAGAACTGACGTTTCCAAAGTGGGATTCGGGAGAAGCCCCGATACGATAACCATAATCTCGTAAGACCAAATCTCCAAGCTACACAACAAGGATTAAATATAAAAAAAATGTCAAATATATTAATTATTAACATGTTTAAGGAAAATAAATAAATAATAATAATATATACTTACCAAACCATAATAGCAGAGGGGATTGCAAGCCACAAAAACTTGGAAATATTTTGTAGGGCTTCTTTAGAGAAGCCTTTCCAAGTATGCCTACAAGCAGGGGACAATGTGATGTAAAGGGCCAAGAACAAATCATTAGTCCAGTACGAAATTCCGTTGGCGAGGGCGGCCCCTTTGCTCCCGAGCCCGAATTTCCATATGAGTAGCCAACAGATAGGTATGTGGAGGAGAGTTGTGAATCCCGAGGTGAGCATCATTGGTACGACGTTGTTCTGAGTCTGTAGGAATCTGAACTGGCACTGGAGGAGTGCGAATGGGAAGATTGAAGGGATCATGTAGCGGGCGTAGACTCCGGCCTCTGCTGCAATGGCCGGATCTTGGCCCAACAGCCGGAGAATATCTCCGGCTGTGGCCCAAGTGCATGCGAGTGGGATACTCACTAGCAGGAGCACCAGCATGGCTCTCTGCATGTGGATCCCCAGCATGTGGTATTGTTTGGCGCCGTACGATTGGCCGCAGTACGTGTCCAATGCGCACGCCATTCCAACCTAAAAATCGATGCAATAAAAATAAAATAAAATAAAATAATGCGACAAAAGAAAAAAATATAATATGGTTGGGAAATTTATTTACCAGTAGACTGAAGCCGGTAACGGAGGCGAACGAAGTGGCCATGGATGCACCGGAGAGAGCTAGCTCTCCTTCGTGGCCGACGAACATAACCGAAATAGTTTGGACAAGTGACAACAAAAGATTCACAAACATCATCGGACCTGCTAGAAACAATTGTAACTTTGCTTCAGCCACGATTTCATCTCTATTGAATTTCGATTTCGTATTGGGATCGTATTCATGTGAAATCGAAATCAATGGCGTTTCGAGATCAGCTTTTTCTACATTAGAAGCCATCTTCTTCTTTTTAAAAAATAAAAAAATTATTTATTAAATTTATAAATAAAAGTTTCAACTGCCTCACTCCCACTTAAGAAAAAAAGGCAGAAAATATCACACTCTTAAGTGCAGTGGGCATGCTTTAGTATTAGGAATCTCACTCTATATATACTAAAAGGGGGCCACTAAATTCCAATTTTATTTCTTTTAAATAATAAAAATCAAATCTTGATTATTTTTAATATTTTAAACAGCATTATTGATATTTTTGCCTGTTAGCAAAATTGTATACTAGCTAGCTCCAGCAAATGGTTTGCAGCTTGTTGCGTTTTCATAGGCTAGAACTTTATTTTGTTTCATCATGAATAAATTTTATTGTGCGTCACTTGCTTTTTTGACGTTATCAGATTTTAATAATAATGGCATAACATGCATGATTAAAACTTACTGCAGTATTTATTCTTCAATTTACTTGCCAATAATTGTTTTTCGAGTAAATTGTAAAAATAATAATAAAGAAAAAAATACAAAAATACAAAAATATTACATATTGTATTGCGCGCCATCAAATACGAGCATTTGACATAGATCACCCTCTCAAAATATTAAGTTAAGACATCTGCACCAGCACTTTATTATTAAGTTGGTGAATTGCACTCACATTCAAAAAATGATTTTTTTTAATAAAAATTACATTAAAAAAAAAAATCAACTTACTCAACTCTCGATAATTGGTAACATTACTTATGCGTAATTATTTAAAGTTTAAATTACCAAATTATTTTAACATGTAATTATCTATAATTATAAAAACCATCCCTTTACAATCTCTAATTGGTGAAAAACTCCTGCATTAAAAACATTAGCAATGACCCCCTACGAAAATTAATCAAAGTCATTAGCCCCTGACAGCTCACAGTGTGCTGCACGCGCGAGTGTACATGGGACTGAAAGTATAGTTTTTGACCTAAAAAAGACTCAAATACCCTTTTTCTGAAATTTTAAAACTTACCGATTCACACCAAAAATTTTATAACCCTATGTTTTTGTTCCGTATAAATTTTTAAATTCGTTGCTTTATTTTGCATATTTGTTCTTAATTCATAGTTGTTTTTTTTATACATGGGTGTGCATGCAACTCGCCAAATAAGTTGTAATGTTATGGTGAAAAAAATGTCATTTTTATCTTTTAATGTTAGGGTGCAATTTTTTTTCTTCCTTTTAATTTGGACTGTATTATGCCAAAATAATTTTTTGAGGTGCATGATGCAATTTCCTCCCATAAGATGAAATCATGAAACTTAAAGAAATATTATTTTATTTATATATTATTAATGCATCAATTTTTATAAATTCCGTACCCACATATACTGTCCACCAATTTTTCTTTTTCCTTTTTTTTTTCTTTTTTTTTTAATTATTAGTATTTTGTTGCATTTCCAGATCAATAGTCCAAAATTGGTGTATACGTGGCGAGCCATGGGGGGTTGGTTGGTCTCCAAGTATGATGCAACTTTGATAATTATTGAGGAAGTATTAAAAGATCTTTCCACTTGTTGATAAAATATCTTTACATATATATTTAAATATCATCCATGTAACGTTAAAATCTCCACTGTTATTTTAGAAATTAAAAAAAAAAAAGAAATTATTGATTTCTACATTGCATCATGTTATTTATATATCCTTATATATCAACATTAATAAATTTATCATTTATATATCATCACAGTCTATATAATGTCTTAGACATTTTTTTATATAATATGCAACATCGACAACATAAAAACCCCTTGTGTTGAAAAAAATCGACTACAAGGATTACGAGTTAGTCTTGCATAAATCCTTGATCCTCTCGTGTTGAGAGAAAGTTGCACCAAATCCCGTTGATAAAAAAAAAGAAAAATTGCACATAATTTTCATCGATCTTAAAGAAAATTTATGTCGCACAAGGGTTTTGACGAGACCATTTTTATATCAATATTAAAAGCTTCATTTTTGGCCAAAAAATATTAAAAAAAGAAAAGAAAGAAAATTTATGATGAAAAATAAAATTTCATGGAAAGAAAAATAGATATAAATATATGTTAAAATAAAATATATGAGGATTAGGTGAAGGTCATACGTCGTTACCTGCAATATGCTAGTAATTTTGTAACCTAAACAAAATGAGGGGTATAATTGCAATCGGCTCCCGAGGTAAGGTTTATTTATGAAAAACTTCTCCCTCTTTTATAAATGCATTCCCATTTCCCCCTGTAATTGATATAGTTTTTTTTATTAACACCCTTTTGAAGGGGTGGATATAAAAAATTACACATTGCAATAGGCCGGATGTAATTTCTCAAACAGAAGCGGTCTTTTTTTGTAATTACACTTACCTTTAGGGAGATTGTTGTAATTTAAACTTTTTTATCCTATGATAGTATGATAGGACGGAGGGCATGTGGAATTTGTAACAACAGAAACAACTTAAAGGGTGTATGTTAATTTATCTTAATCATACTTTGCATCCTTAAAATATACTTTTTTAACATTTTACGTCCTCAGTCTTTTTAATAGTATTTTGCACCCCGAAACACAATGAATCATACATAATGCACCTCAAAATGAATTTTTAAAGCTAGCTAGTGATAATAATTTAATATTTTTTAGTGATTAATTCTAGGATGCCAAATGACAAATCAACATATTTTTACATTAATCGGTCCTTAGAAACTACAAAGTGCAAAAAATAAAAATAGATCTCATCAATATATTAAATATTTAAATATTTTACAAAAAACAAAAGAAAAAAAAATATCCTTAAGCTATTTCGGCATCTAGTTATTTGAAAATTATATTTTCTTCAAAATATTTCAACCAAATATTTTGACTAATCATCAATCAAATAATTTAGTGAGAATTTTTTTTTTTTTTTTTTTTTTTTTTTTTTTTTTACGAAAACATAGTTTTTTCAGTAATTTGCTGTAATTTTTGTTTTTCGCATTTTTTACGCTCGGAATTATGTTAATGGTGGAAGAAAATAATAATTTTAATCTATTATTTTGCACTCTTGAAATAAACAATTCAATAAAAAATGAAATTAATTACCTTCATTAAGTTATAAATTTATAATTGAGGCAGCACTGTGAATAATTTATTGTGTTTCGTGCGTGCAAAATACTATTAATTTTTTTTAAGGGTGCAAAAGGCCAAAATACCATATTTCAAGGATGCAAAGTGAGATCAAACCATATTTTATTGGTAATTAATAAAAGGGGAAACTACAGATAAATCCCTAATCCAAAACTCAAAACACAGATCAGTCCCTAGGTAGTTTCTTCAAGCAAATCAGTCCCTATTCACGCGTCTGACATGAAGATCAGTCCCTAATGTAAATTTAATATATTTTATTATATTCTCTCTCTTCTTTTTCACTCTCACCATTTTCTCTCTCCTCATTTTCTCTCTCTTCATCTTCTCTCTCTTCATCTTCTCTTTCTTTCTTCTCTTTCTTCATTTCTATCTGCTCTTTTTCTTCTCTATTTCTTCTCTCTTTCTCTCCTCTGGTTTCCTCTTTTTTCCGACGAAAGAGGGTTCGCACCGATGGCTGGTAGGTCTCCATATTTTTCTGTACTACTGAAATGCATTTCTTTATGGTTGTTAATTATTGTGATACATAGTATAAAATATGGCACGTAATAGTACCATGCTAATATAAATATGGTATGGACGTATGGTACTTACAATACGTAATCGTTATTCGTATAGTATGCGTGATAGGTAAATTTGGTACTGTTGGTGGGAAAACATAGTATCATATAATGGGGAAGATAATACGTAACCTTCATCTGAATAGTATGGGTGATAGGTAAATTTGGTACTGTTGGTGGGAAAACATAGTATCATATAATGGGGAAGACAGTACGTAACCATTATTCGGATAGTATAGGTGATAGGTAAACTTGGTACTATTTGTAGGAAAACTTAGTATTATATAATGGAGAAGATAGTATGGAACCAGTGCATTGTTATGATATTTTCATGTACATTGTTATTTGGATTCCACTCTATTGTAATCCATTTTTTTAAATTTTTTTAAACCAAAAGCGGCAATCAATCGATGGAAATCGAGGGTAATCCGCTTAGAAATTCAATTGATGCATGGAGACATTGCATCCGTGGGGAGAATCAGTTTTTTAAAGATCCTGATGATTTTAGGCATATGCTGAAAAACTATTCTATTGCTAATAATCGATCATTTAAGTACATGAAAAATGATCAACAAAAGATCATAGCAGTACGCATTGACGAAAACTGCAAATGGAGGGTTTATGCATTATTGTACAAGTCAGATAAGTTATTTAGCATTCGTAAATGCAATCTTGAGCACACTTGTGGTGATGCTACTCTTCGAGTAGCACCACTCAAATGAGTGGGTTAAAATACAAAAAAGGGAAATGCAAGCGTCTTGATTGTGGGAAGAAAACAATAATCATGGTTTCAGAAACTATTTTGAATCCCGGAAGGTTATTTTACTGTTGCCCACACCATGGCTACTCCCATTGGTGTGAACCATTTGAAGTTGGGCAAACTTTTTCCAACTCAAATCGTGAAGAAAATGAAGCTACAAGTGCGTCGATGAACCAAGTCCATCAAGAAAGTGAAGTGAAGA